CAGATTAAGTCACTTCTTAATGTCTGAAATGCACTAAACCCTCCTTAGACAAAGCAGACTTTTCTGGAGCCAAGTAAGTAACAGGTTTGATATTATTTCTTCAGAATACTAGCAGCAGTTGAATTGTTTCATAGGCTTGTATTACCTGCCAATTTTCCTTTGTTTGAACTAAGGTTGTTTTATAATTATTTCAAGGGGATAAAAATTGTTCCCAGGCTGAAAGTCAGTATGCCAAGTTACAGCCCAGAGCAGGCTTTTATCAATAAATTTTATGCAAACCTGAAAAAACAAGTTTACAATGGAAACACTGACAGAATTTGAGCTATACCAGAACTAGTAAGTTACTGCTTTAAATGGGTTGGAATGATGAGGTTGTTAAACTGGAACACCTTTATGAATGCGACACACTGATGACAGTTGCTGGAAGTTTTGGCAGCAAGAACTGGGTCTAGCTGAAGAAAATTATTACTAGAGAGTGTGGGGGAGAGCCCTGTGGCCAGAGGGATCTGTTTGGAGGGCTTACATGGCTGATTAGCACAGCAGTGTTCGTCACCTAGAAGGGACTTGGGGTTTTGGTGACAGTACAGCAGGTGAAGTCTCTGTGAAGAGCCTCTCCCATTAAATACTGGTTTCAGATGCCAGAATTGCATCTCCTGGCACTTAGAGCTGTTGTTTGTGCAGGATTTGGGGTGTCCTTGCGCTCCTCCAGTTACAGATCAAAATCTGTATACATGCTCAATTTGGGCTTTTTGAACAGATTTGTAGTTGCCAGTGCTGCTCTCTTACCAAGAGGACAGATTAGAAATTCCACAGATACGCTTTTTAAATGAAAAGTTGTAGTGATTGCTGTGTAGGTCAGAGTTTTTCCTTCTTGCTTTTTTTCTCTCAGGAGAAGTTGCTAAATTTCCTAAACTTGTTTTATTCTGTATAATTCTTTTAGGTGTGATACTGAGGAAACGGAAAGATGTAATAGCAAAACCACACACACTTTTATTTGTATATAATTTTAGAAGTGCGATGTTTTGTTTTCACAGAGGATCATCTGTTGATACACAGAGTTTGATACCTTCTGATTTTTATTTTTTCAATGTTTTTGTCAAAGCAATCTAGGCATACTTCAAGGAAGTTTTTAAAGTCCAAAAGACACTCAAAGATGAGTAACAGTTACTGTTCTCAAAAACACTGTGTATTTGTGCACCTCAGCAAAAATCACATCTACATACCTGGTAGTGTAAGCCTGATAGGGTACCTGATGGGGGTAAACGTGTAGTGAAGGAAAAAGGGTAAGAATAATTCTGTAAAACATGTGATGTCTCTTGTAGAGTTTTCTCAATCTAAGTTGGTAAATAATTATCACCAGTAATACCTAAACAACTTCCTTACATCAGTGGGTCGGTGATCTGTTTGATTACAAAACTTCTGGCTTAAAACTGGTCAACTGAATCAGAAGAATTCTGTGAACTGTTACGCAAAAGCCAACCAATTAACACTGTGAACTGTTTTTAGTGTGCATACAGTCATCTGAAATGAGATTCTCCAGTGTTCAGCTTTGTCTGAACAGTGAAGAACGGGAGTGTGTGCCTCAACCTTCTGACACCATTTCCAATCTCTTTGTGTCTTCATTCAGCAGCACTCTTCCCTGCTGTGACTAGTAGACGTGAGGGCATTTCTGTCTTGTATTGCCTTTGTGTGCTTATTAGAAAAGAATCAGCAAATCTGTTGAGTGCATGTTTAATGTAACACAGATGTGGGCACACCACCGTTCATTCTGCTTTACAAATCTTCAGCTTTTTGTATTTCATCAGCATTGCTTATTATTTACAGAATGTAACTTGAGACAGTAGAACAAATTTTTAGATTAAAAAAATCAAGTTGTGTGGAATGTTTTTAGCTGTCCAGACCAAACAGACCCGTTTGCCAACGGGCTGATGGACTAAATCAATGCAATCAGAGCACTAGCTCTAGTGGCACTTAGTTGAAAAGCAGCTGACCTGCTTATCACCAAGATGAGAATTATCTTTTATCACCAGGATGAACATTTTGGCGTGGAGGAGCAGTGGAGACAGTAAGCACTGTACTCTTAAGTACATCTTCCATTTAAAAATAAAATCTAAAACCAACCCACAACCAAACCCACAACTTGGAAATTGCCAAGCCTTCAAGAAATTCATTGTGGTGCCTAGTACTTTTGTAGTACTAGTATACTTTCTCCCTGACCCGCTTCTAAGCCAGACATTAGAAACCAGTGTTCGCTGGTGTTCTGGTTTCTACGGAATAGGTCTGATTAAAAGGCCCTATTCTTTCCTCATTTTTACAGCAGTCTTGCTTGCGATGCTTCAGATACCTCTTCTCATGGTACTACAGAATATTAGGGAAAATAGCAGAGTTCAATGTTTATCGGAAAGATGGTTAATGTAAAAACCATTACGCAGTGTTGTTGCTCACTCCCATATGGATGGTTATCCAACTTTTCTGAATGCTTAATAGGAAAGCGTGTAAGTAAAAAGTTACTGATTGGCCAATAGTTAATTAAAAACTGTACATTGTGCTTCAGACATTCACTCTTTAAACTTGTCAATAGAAGCTACAGGTGCTGTAGAGAGGTTTAACAGCCAATGGGGGCTTCTTGGGTTAAGTGAAATTTTGCCATTTTACTGCTTTTGGAAGTTAGGAAGTAGGACAAACAGCAAGATGTGAATTACACTGGCTGGAACCCTTTGATTTCTTTGGAACTTTGCCTCGACATTTTGCGTTTTGTGAAGGCAAACGCATACTTTTGTTTACTACTTTGTATGAATCTAATAGGTAAAACCAGGCACTTATTTGTTCACCTTTGGTGTAGGTTCAGAAAGAGAGTAATACTGTCATGTAACCTGGTACAGACGAATCCTGTTTACACCTAAAAAATCTAAGTGGCGGGAGAGGTGATTGCTCCAGAGTCCTAGTACTTAATAGTGAAGTTCTAACCACTGCATACAGCTGTTACTCAGTGGAGTAATTTTACGTCGTACATAGCTTGTGGAAGTAATCTCTTTACCTAGTGTTTAGGTTATTCTGATTCAGAAAAATGCTACTAATGGAAGAATACAGTTTTAAGACATTGCACTTTTTGCAAGTGAGGAAAACTTAAGTACCTTTATGCAGCAAATGGCAATTTTCATACTGGCATTTTTTAGCCTGGATGCATAACACCGTAATTAACTAATGAATGTCTAACCAAAACAGAAGGCAGTGCGGCAGGACAGGTAAAGCAGTGAGAACATCTGTCAGCAGAGGTAAAACTGAAAATTTCACTGATAACGTTTTACTGGCACTATTAATGGCAACATTTGTTATGGTTTCTTAAGCCCCTGCTCTGTTTCGCATTCTTTTAGTTGGAGAATTTCCACTCTCCATTTCATCCTCCCTGCTGACAAACTGACTTTCCATCTTAGCGTAACCATAGTTCAGCTGAAGTGAAGTCAAGAGCTTTTTGTCTCTCCTGAAGTTTCTCTCAAAGAGGATCAGCGATAAGCACTACTTCAGAGCCACTGTAATTTGTTACGCAGGTCAGGGATGTAATCATCTCATTAACAAAATCAGAACTTAGCAGACAGTCATAATGTATTACAAAAATAAATTGGCTGATGTTTTTCTCTGCTGTGCTGGAAAGCCAGTATCTTTGGCTTCTATACCTTGTTTGCAAAATACGTTGTTGATACCAGACAGAGCAATGATAGCCAAAACTCAGTGAGGCCAGTCACCCAGTGGGAGAGCAGCAAAGATGATACTAAGTCATGAATGACATGTAAGAGATTCTGATCCAGTAACATTTAGTGCAGCCAAGAAGGGAAGGGGCAAAAAAACATCTGTAGCCATTAAAAGGCAAGGGTGTCAGAGACTCGAAAGAAAATAAGTTTTAAAAGGGTGCATGGGTTTCAAGTCTGGGAGAGGACTGCTGAAAGGGAAAGGTAACAAAGAAACAAGGCTCCAGAGAAAACATCTGCAGAAAGCAAAGCTTAGAAGGCAAGTACTCTGGTGCTATTGCCAAGCAGCTTAAAAAGAAAACGCATTGTTACATGGGATACTTTTCGTGTCTTTTGATCAAAAAGGATAGAAGCAGTTCATTGTAGAGGATCTTTACAAAGCATCAAGATGGGAAGTAGAGAGCACTAATCAAAAATGGTGAATTTGGCTTGGAAAACTACTAACAGCAGTGGCCTGAAAGAGATACGAAAAAGCATGCAGCAGACCCAGAGTGGTGCTGTTGGGAAAGGACAGAGAATAAAGCAGGGCTAGGCAGCCTGTAACACAATTCTTCAGGGGTAGGGCGTTCCAAAAGCTTAAAGGAATTCAGAATATTATTTTTTAACAAAATACTTCTAAGGGAGGAACCTAGCCGGCAGTTCCTTAGCACTGTGGCCAGTATCAACCTCTGATGTTAGGCCACACGTGTGTGTCTTTTATTATTGTCATTTTTTAATAGATGCTCAAGGAAGGTAAAGTATGCTAAACGCTACTACGGAAATTCTTAATTAACTCTGGATTTTTCTTTTGTCTTGTCTTAACTGTATGTTCCTATTTCTGTAACCCTTCAATTTTCAAAGGACTGACACTGTCCATCAATCTGAGCTCTTTCTACGTTGATGCACTCTTGTTCTCTGTAGAGAAGTAACAGTCAAATCAGTAAAACACTCCTGATAAATAGATCCCAAAATCTGCAGAGAGTATACTCAGTTTAGGTAGCTTCTTCCTATTAATTCAGCACACTGCCCCTTAATTGTAGAGGAAAACTGGGAGACATTTCTTTGAAATGTAAAACTATATGAATAGACACTGTGTCTTCCACATCAAGTATTACAGACTCTATATGCTGTACCCGTGAAGACATTGTATTTTTAAAGGCTTTGTCACACCTCGTATTTCAAAATAAATACAACTTTGTATGTTGACAGGTTTAAGTGGAAGGAAAAGCACTGCTGTTGCACTAAGTCATTTTTCTGCATCTATTTTGCATGCAGGACACAAGCGGAGAGAGTGAGAAAGCCACGCTGCTGTAGAGGGCCTCAAGGGCTCTTGCCCCGCTATTTAGAAAGTCAAGCAGAAGGACAAGAACAGCTGTTCAAACTGACTGACAACATTCAGGATGAGTTGTAAGTACCGACTTACACAGTTACTTTAAGTAGTTCTGTTTGCTGCCCTTGTATCTTCATGTCTTTGGAGAAGAGGGACTAAAACTGCTTTACACACGTACGCGCACACATGCACGTACATTTTGTTCGTTTTCTCTTGGTACTGATTAGCAGCGCAGCATGAGCGCCTGATGACTTCCAGGGTGGCCTGTCCACTGGCTGGATACAAACGTCATTGCAGGTGCCACAGGGCTCCTCTGGTTCACTTGTTGTGAACTGCCATTGATCGCACATCACATACAGGCTGTGGAAGAATTGGAGCCTTGGTTTGTTGACTCCTGCTCCAATTGATGTCCCTGGTCCCCCCCTTACAAAAGATGAAATCTCAGTAAGTTTCTAAGTAATCATTAGTCCATTTAACATGCATAATACATGTCCAACCCTCATGTGCATTGATAAAACAAGTGCATGTTTTAATCCTGTACTCCTCCTCCTCTGTAACATGCACACAGGCAGAACTAGCATCTCTTCCCTTACTTGTCCTGTGTCGTCTATTTCTCACAGCCCAAAGCCTAGGAGAGTGGCTAGTGATTCTCTGGTAGCAATACAGGAACCACCACTGACCTGCACGGAGTGCACTCTGAGGGGGCTCTGGTTTAGATGTGAGAGAAGCTAACTTGGATGCCTGTAGTACATGTTATTCCTAAGCTGTGGCTGTTAACAGTTAACGACCAAAATAACCTGCAACATTCTGCCCTCACCCCCCCACCCCCACCCCCCCGAAAACTGAATAATTTGCATGGGTAGTACACTAAAGGCGCATCTAAGTTTGAATACCCTGGATATGGGTTCATGAAAGCAAGTGAAAAGAGTGTATAAATGTTATTAGTGGTCAGGTTTGAGAGTATTAAAAAAAATGGCATACAGAGTGAACATGGAAAGATATCTGTACGTTTGTTTCTACAGGAGATGTCAGTTTGTTGGATTGGGGTCTTAAGGCATAATTCATTACTTAACTCGATCTCTACCAGTTACCTGAACAGCTGTTTTCAGTGGAGAGTGTAAGATACTGTGTTTTGTATCTATTATCCATCAGTGTATCTGCCAAGGACAAGTAGTTAGAACTGTTGCTGGTGAAGCTTGTAGAGGGAGGTACTTTAATTTCGCCAGTGTCAATGATCAGGCTGTGAAAGCCACGTGCCACTCTAGATTCTACCTTCAGCTGCCTGTGAGGAAGAGTTTGTAATCTGCCGCTTGCTTGTGGCCCTGTGATCTTACACTCTCGTTATCCCGTTTTCATCTCTTTTAAGCATCTTTATGCACATACAGTCTGGCTCTTAGGTAGGGAGAACTGAAAGAGAGCAATTTGCGACCAAAAAAAAATTGTCAACTTTTTGCAAGTGTACCCCGTAAGCAGATCAGTGGGCTTTTGTCATCGAGTCACACTGTTCATTCACTGTGACTTTCACCATTAGGAACATCATTCAACAAGAACAGTGTTTCTTGTGATGGAAAATAAGTACAAAATTATGCCTCTGACTTTTATCCTAGTATCATAATCAGAAACACATTTAAAGACCTGATTATTTGCATATTTTCCTTCAGAGTTAAATCCATAAAAGGGGGTTTAATACCTTGCTCTACTGTTCTAACTAAATGTTTCCACATTTTTTTCCAGTTAGGCTCACTGTTTCACTTCTGGAAAATATTGTGTAATTACTTCCTGATGTTGTTAAAAAAACCCACAAATTCGCCAGAGATCTGGTTGCTTCTACTTTGTTCTACTGGATCATGTTTCATTTAATTTTTCATTTTATTAATTTGAGATTCTTTTTAATCGTGTAGAAGTACGGGTTTAAAAAATGGTAGTATCTTGAAGTAGTATCTTAGCAGGTTAAATACCCATTTTGAGAACTAGACACAGGGAAGAAAGTAACAGTTGGCAAGAGAAAATGGGTAATGATGCATGACTCAAACTTAGAACAAAATGTAGAGCTTGAACTACAAATTAGCTAATGTTTCTGTCCTTCACCATTAAATCACTGACCTCCATTTCCACTCCTCAAAATATATACATGACACCAGTAAAAATCTTGTATGGAAAATTAGATATATAATTTGTTGTTCTTATGGAGAAAATACAAACCCGTGGTCCGATTAGCCAGTTGCTTCCACTGAACTTTATAGTAGCTTTTAGTGCTTCAGTTCTCTCCATGGATGTCCCCCATATAGCAGCCTGTAATACCATACATCAGGAGACAGCTGCTCTGCTTTTGTGGGTATACAAAACCTTCTCAAGTTTCTCAACTTTGCTGTGACAATTGCTAAGGACAGTGATACAGTAATAGGGGTTTCTGATAATCACCTTTCAATCTTCTTTCTCCGCTGGAAGAGAAGCAAAGAAAGCCAGTGTGCCAGCAAGTTTCCTCTGGTTCCGCTTCTAGTGGAAGTCTGACCCAAGTCAAAGCTAGGATCTCTGTAAAATACTGTACTTGGTTTTACGTGCCTGTTGTAAGGAACAAGACATTATCCTGAAGGCTATAATGCTGCTCTATTTTTAAAATTAAGTTTTCTATGACACTTCATAAAAAATACCACTCTCCATCCTAATTAACTTATTTCAAAGACAAAACCTTACCCCGGAGTGTTTGAACTCTGATGGAAAACTGAGGGGCAATTGCTAGTTCAGTAACTGCGTTAACACTGCCTTTCACCGAGGTTTTTTTAAGCTGAAATACACATTTTTGTCTGTTTTGTTTTACTTAAAGGAACACAGTTCAATTATCCTGTCCTGTAGTTTCATCCAAGGTTAAAGCTGGGCTAAGTACATTACAGGTTTTTTTTTTAACAGGATGGCTGTGCTCTTCTCAGCACTTAAATGAAAATACAAGTTGTTAACTTGAGTAAGTGCGTATGCGTTTCTCAAGTTTATGGAAGCAGTGGCTAGGAGGCATAGGGCAGGAAAAAGACAAGTTCAGTGCAGAATACCATCTTTTAGAGGACTACTAATAGAAAATCACTGGAATTATTCTTTTATACCACAAAAAGAAACCATGATCTGACCTCTTGAAACATTTTTGGCTATTAAAATTCCATTTATAGCTATGGGTTTATTTGGATATAGCTCAGAGTAATTTGTGCAAAGTGTTACTTAAATGGTAGAGCCAACAGTAGTTTTGGAGATGGTGAGCTTCTCTATCTACCAAAAACTCTTGGTACCAACAATCTTCATTGATTGCAAAGCCAGTGGAGCATTCTGCAGAACGTATTAGGACAACAGCAGATAGACTTGTACAAGCAACAGTTCAGAAAATAGTAATTTTGAACCCACCTGACAGCGTGAGAATCTTAGTTTTACAGATAGGCTTCTACTGCTGTGGGTTGTTGACAGAGCATTATTATGCTATTTAGCACTCTTTCTTAGTTACGATTTCATATTCAATTTTCTGAATTTTTCAGCATTTAAAAAACCCCACTAATGAGGTTCATTTAAGTAGTGTATCAGAAGTGAAGAAGCGTTTCTGTGTGAAACACCTATTTCACTTTTGCATTCCTTACTGCTGTTTTTTACACATCAACCTTTTCAGCCATCATAATTCTCAATATTCTTAACTCGCTCTTTTCTACCTCCACTATTCATCACTCAGACTAATCTCTCTGGGGAAACCTGCTTGCTGCTTAACCTTTCACCCCAGTGTTAAACAGCTAATTTCTCTTTTCTAGCTACTGATCCAGGCAGCAGGTTAAACTTGTTTTTTGTTTTCAAAGGCAAGGGAGGTGTGTGGTAGAAGGAAGCGCAGTAGGTTTACAATGTGTAGAAGGATAATGCTCTTGTCATAAATGTCTGCAAACCTTTCACATATCAGCAATGGAACTGAACTTACAATTAAACTCCAGTATTAGGACTTGCAGTATTCCAATGCAAGGAAATTACTCTTCTTAAAACTTGTTAAAGGATATTTTTATATGCCCTTTTAATGTCCAAAGCCAGAAGCCAGGCATCTAGCACTAATATTTGATTTACAGCGTGATCTTTTTTAACTGGGTGAGAGGGTACTTCATCAGCTTGAGTTTTAGAACAGTTTAAATTAAATACAGATGAATTGTACATGTTATGCTATTAGTTTTTCTGAAAGACTTCTAAAGGTCACTCAAAACATAACAGGTGAAGACATTTGTTAGTTTTCTATTTTTAGCTTCAAGTGAATAATTTTACTTTTTTTCTTTTTTGCAGCTTCATAGCAGTAGAGAACATAGACAGCTACTGTGTTCTCATTTCATCTAAAGCTGTTTATTTCCTAAAGAGTGGCGATTACACAGACCGCGAGGCCATCTTCCTAGAAGTCAAGTATGATGATCTCTATCACTGCCTTGTTTCAAAAGACCATGGGAACGTGTATATACAGTTGACGAAGAAAGCTGTTAATACAAGTAGTGGTGTAGCAATGCCAGGCCCATCACAACAAAAGCCAATGGTAAGGATCTAGCACCTATTGTTTGGGGGTTTCTTTTCCCTTTTATGCATGTACTGGTGCTGAAAGTGTTTGGAGTCATTAGTGTTTGGTTTCCTGTGCTGCATAACAATGAAAACTCTGTTCTGTCAGCAGTGAAAATAGCTGCTGCTGAAAAGGTTTAGGTGACAATAGAACTTGCTCCCTAAACTCCTGACAAAAGCTGAAGGCAAAACCTAAAATATTCCTGCAGGCAGAAAAGTTACAGTAGGAAATGTGTGTTTACCTGAGAAAGGCTTTTAACTTTACAATGCGTATGTGAAACTTAAGTACTTTGCTGTCTATGTACTCTAGTCTTCTCCTATACACAGAATTTTTTTACTGCAAAGTGTCTAAGATTGGAAAGAAATGCATGTAACAGTTAATCAGAACTCTCACTTCTAAAACCCATTACAGGGTTTTTTTTGCTTCATTACAGTAGTTGCTCAGGGGTCTGTTTTACAGACAAGGTTACAAGCTCACCCCTGACCCAAGTCAGTTTACATTCCAAACAGACAAGCCAGATAAAAGGTAGGAGGGGAAGCAAAGGAAATAACTTCAAATATTGCAAGATGTTTCTGCTCTCATTCTAAAATACCTGTCTCTATTTACCTGTCTCTCCCTCTCTCACTTCTTCCTTACTTTAGCCTTAGCACTGAGAAGGAATCTCCACTGAAACCAAACCTAACCCCTTCGGTTAGTGAAGTAATAAAAAATAAATATATTCTGCTTTAGATGACAGCAGTACCTACCACATTAAGAAAAATCACATTTCTTTTTGCAGGTGAAAGTGAAATCTGAAGTTCTTGCAGTAAAGCTATCTCAAGAAATAAACTATGCAAAGAGCCTTTATTATGAACAACAGCTTATGTTAAGACTCAGTGAAAATCAAGAACAATTAGAGCTGGACTCTTGAAACCTCTTCCTTACTGCCAGAGTGAACTGCAAGTATCATTCTGGAGCTGATGGTATTTTGTAACTAGAGAAAGTACTACATGGGAAGGAAATAAATACGATTTTAGTATTTAGCTAAACGGAATCATTGTGCAGAAGAAAACAAGTGAGGTGGGGTTTTTTTTCTTTTTTTAAAAAGCATTAGTTGTGTAACAAAGATATAGCTGAAATGCACTTGGTTCTGGGAGAAGCTCTGTATTTTGCTAACATGTATATATATGTAAAAGTGTTTCATGTAAATAAGAAAGTACAGACCAGGGTGTTGGTATAAATAGACATCTGTTTACTGTGTAAAGAAATTAAAGGAGCTATACCAAGTCTTACCGCACTACCTGAAACTAGCCATTCTCTCTCTCTTTTTTTCTTGAGAAAGCTGATTTTCACAGTGCAGGAATGTAGATAAAAGTTTAAAAAATAAAATAAAATTAGGAGTTAATTGCAGCTGTTGGAGCACAGACATCCCATAGTTTGGAGCTTTAACACTGTGATTAGGGTGCATTGTTTGGGGTTGTTTGTTGGGTTTTTTGGGTTTTTTCTTAAATCACTAGTACAGCTAAATGCACGTATGCCTAGTGTTCCACTGAAATTTCATCCTCGTTTTTAACAAAAATAATTGCATTTTGTTAAATATTGCAGTGAGGACTCACTTACTCAATTACATTTTCAAAATATTAGAAAACGAGAAGCTGATTCTGTTCGGAATACAGCACTCAAACCCAGTAAAGTCTGCGCCTCTGAAGGCCCCTGCTTCTAAGTTGTTTTTAAAATAGTTCAAGTGAGCAGCCTTGGAAATTGAAATCCTTAACTTCACTTTTTTCCTTCACTCGGCTTGAGTAAGTGTGTATCGTTGGCTGGTTAGTGTGGAATTCTGCTAGCACTGGAAATGCCGAAGGGTAGGGGGAGAGGAAATCACTGCATCATTTGTCTTCGTGACAACCTCTTCAAAATTAAACTTTTTGAAATAATAAAAATAATATGCTTTTTCAAATGTTGTACATCAAATCAGTATTTGTCTCACCAACTTTAACCAAGCTGAAGACTGAGGAATGAGTGTACTTACCTTTATTCACAGAAACTAGGAAATCTCATTTTCACGTTTGCTCCCTGGAGATAGTTCAGCAACTGTGCTGAACGTCTGCATGCGCTACAGCATTTTGCTGTGCCAGGTTTAAGTGTGAATACACAACTTTCCTAAAAGTGCTGAGTAACCTACATTCTAAAAGCGTTATTTTGTAAACCTTTGACTCAAAGTAAGGAGCCCACTATAGCTTTACTTTCAACTTAGTTTACCTTTTAATATCCTTTCATAAAGGCATACAGGAATATTTTTAAACTGAAGGTTAGAATTAAACAATTCTCAACTCCTGTAAAGTGAAAGGCAGAGGATTATTGTCTAAGGAGAAAACGTGGTATCAGTCGATGTGTGTATGGTCTGTGACTGGAAATCAAAATCCATAAAAGTCCATTACGCAAATGAAACTGATTTAATGCATCACTTTTGTATATTTCTCTGTATAATTTTTAAGTAAAATAAGGAATTCAACAAGTGCATTGGCTCAACAGTGCTTTAACATGTCAGTCCTGTGGGACTCTGCTACCAAGACTCCCTGCTTCCCTCCCCTGTAAAATTCTTTTTTAATGCAGCAAATATCTAGCTGCTAAAGATGGTAAGTAGATGGGGAAGGAAGATAAAAAGTAGTTCACAGCTCTGTGTTGAGAATTTACAGGAGAATGGCTTGAATACTTAAGTTTTGTAACAATTATACAAGGAGCTGACATGCAAACACCTGAAAAGTAGTTAGGTAGTACACCCTTTGAGTTACCTGAACTCAGGGAGCCACAGTAGGTAACGGATCTAATTTGTGTATTTGTTTATTTCTTTTGGACTGTGCTTAACCTGTTCTTTTGACTGTTGGTAATGATCAAACAGAACATTACTTAAACCTTTGAAAAGTGTACCCACTAGCCTAGATGTGTATGAGTACCACAGACCGTAACTGGCTTAGGTTATTCCCATATGTTATGATGCTGTTCCCGATACCGTGCTCTTCTCAAGTTCAGTGGCTGAAGTTGCGGACTCGGCTATAGGGAAGGCCAAGTTTTCTCTTAAGGGTACACACATAGTGCTGATCACAAGGAGCGATGTACGGACATAGCTGAAAGAAGCACACTGCCTCATTTAGCATTCCAAAACAAACTGAATCTTTGTTTTTTTAGAAGCACAAATGATGTTATTTATTGCTGTACCCAACTATTTTTATGTAACTTCAGAACTCTTACTGTGGACTTCCTATTGCTATTGGCACTACTAACATCATTACTCAGTGAATAAATATAACTTTCAGATTCCAGGAGCTATACTCAAAAATAGTTTTCAGAGGATGTGGAGAGTAAGCTCAAGTCTCCAGCGTTCACTCAAACTCTTAAGAACTCAAGCAACAAGCTGTAAGCAGACAATACAACATAATAGTTCCATTTACCAAATTCTGCAAAGTTCTTCAGATTCTGAGCCTTATGAAGGCAGTATGCTTACCACCCTTAGCTGGGTTTCATTGGAGGAGGTGTGACTGCTGCAGCAATAAAAGAGATTCAGTCTTCAGATTTCAGAAGCTGGGGAGGAGAAAATTCACTGATGAGAGACAGTAACACAGCTTTCTCCCCTTGCCCACTGTCTTCAGCACACAGCCAATACAATTCAGGAAAGACGATGCTTTTTCATGCCTCTTTGCTCAAGTCTTTATAAAAAGCTCTTCACCTTCACACTCTAATAAAGATTAAATAACCCATAAACAAGGCAGGTAGTATTTCAAAAACCCTATAACCCATGCAGTTGATATGCTGAGGTCGAAATACTTTGCTTCAGCCTGTTAGCTTTGATTTTACCTGTATTTTGCTGAGAACTGTACAACTTGCTCTCTGCCTACCCTGACCAACTTTGTTTTCTTGCTGGAGTTGCTACTGAAGAAATGTAAAATAAAGATTATTGACGTAAGAGTTATTTCACCATAATTCTGGAGAAATGCAATAAATTGATTCCACCCACACTCTTCACGTGCCCTTGCTTGCAAAACCATCAATTATGTGTGGGAACAGAAAATGACTGTAGAGGCCAGGCATGAATAATTCGCTCAGAAGTTAGACACATGCCTCTGGAGTGGCAGAACAGCCCTCAAGACTGTTCTTGCATCACGTAATTCTGATGTTTGAGGTAAAACCTGGACAAGCTCCTGGAATGGTGGTTGTCACTGTAGGTCAAACCCAGACTTGCACTGACCTGGACACTCAGATAATCTGCGTTTGTGATGGCCTAATTTTCCAGAAGTCATTTAAGAGTGGGAAATCTAGATGCTAAGCTATTTAAACTTCAAAGAAAAAGCGTATCTTGTAAAATAAAATCCAGACATTTTTCTTAACATCTGGATGACCAGCATAGCTGATAAATGCTTTTGTGCTATAGTAACGCCTCACAGTACACGTCACCTACCCAAGCTAAACAATGCCAGAGTTGAGTTAAGTCAAATGATACACATCCAAAAAAATGACACTTTAGGTAGTAACCTAATTTTATGTGGGAAAAATGCATCCTAATATTTCTAACACTTACCCAGAACCATGCGTTCTGCTGTCACTAAAATGAGAGACCTGTGACTGAATTAGGTAAGCAAGTTTTTAATGTGCGAGATATGCAGAAGAACACAGATGGCCATGTCATTTTATTCTAGAAGCAATTCTGGACAAGCAGAACTACAAAAGTCCTTTCTGTTCTGACCTAAATCCACAGCTGTGGCTGCAAACTTCCATTTTGCTGCCCTGTATCTGACAAAGCAATCAAAACATGGAGAATTACTATTTTGGATCATATTGTTTTAAGCTCTATGATATGCTCATAGCTAACAGGAATGTGACAAGGCCACTAAGAGACCTTTTTTTTGCTGAGGAAACAGTATTACTAGTAAACAAGCAAAAATATAAAGATACAGGGAACGTGCATAATACGGATGCTGAAAGAGGCAAACCCCACACCACTCACCAATACATGATTTTGTAACCACATGTCAATTCCTGGGGACAGTCCTCAGCTGGTAGCAGGATCTAGCACAGTACAGGTGGGATGAGTAGATAAGGTGTCTGCCCACTCACTGCCTCGGGAAGAAAGAGAAATAAATTGCTTTCTGAAGTCACGGAATAAACTGGAAAAAAGTTTGGTAACTGTTAGACACTTCACTTAAACCAAGGGTGAGGTTCTACATGTACTTCTGCATCTTAACTATGGTATGATCAGGCTGAAACAGACTTTTTGTTACTGTCATTACTGGATCATAAACAATTATATTACCTACTTAAACTTAGCCATTTATAAATAAAGTCTAGGCAGTGAAACAGGAAATACAAAATGAGGTACGCCTGAAATGAGGTAAACTGTGTGCAAGATGTGAACAACATCCTTCCCTTCCTTCTGCTCCTGAATAGATTTCCAATAAATCGGCTAGATGATACTATCGGAACAGCTTAAGTTATGAATGCTGTCTACCGAAAAAGTGCAGTGCTTACATTTTTGTGGAAAGAATGTAAGTGGCTAAATGGTCCACATCTCAAAACACAAAAATAATCGTAACATTTCCCTGTGACAAGGAGGTTTTGATCTATTTGCTGTCCTGTTTCCTAGACTGCATGATGGTTTTCAGCATTCATCTATTTTCTCAACAATACAATACTTACTTTCTAGGATCCTAGGCCAGCTATATGTATTTTTTAAACTTCTTTTTTTCCTCTGTAGCACAGCTTAGCACTGACCTGTTTCCTACAGTGCACGAGCCACTAGATGATGACTCCTCTAGGAATAACCTTGCTTGCTCTGCTTCTCTTCTTAGAAGAATATGCCTCTATTTGCTCATTACAATGATTTCACCTCTGGTACCTGGGTCTGAAAAAGCAGGTTTTGAGGAGTATACTCTTCTTCAGGTTACTGGCTGCTGCAAACATATATTTTAAAAAAAAAAAACAAAAAAAAACAAAAAAAAACACATTTTAATTAAGTCAATAGTTACTCAAAATCCACTTATACAACTTGGTTTCTTACAAAGAGTAACACTCTGTTTATGCGTGTATACTTACATACTTCTTTTTATATATATATATGCACACGCACCCCTCCGTATGTATATACATCCATACTCATACAAGTGATGGCCATACTCCAAACTCCTCGAGTCTTAAAAGCGTAGTTGTCACAAAGAAGAAACACATAGTCTTATTTTTCAGGGAAAAAATCAAACGGTGCCCAGAACTTTGGATTCCAGTCCAGACTTCTGTAAAATTCAGGCTTGA